TTAACTACGCAGAGAGTGTGCGGGGGATCACTATCCCTGGTGCCAGTCTTGGTAAGCCACATGGCATAAGAACCCACATGAAGGACGAAATTCCGGCAGTTAGCGACTCGATTTCAGGCAATTGTCGAACCATGTGCAACCACCTGCGATGGACGCGGCATCATAGATGGATCATTTTCATAGGCATACAAGCGTATCGAAACTGCATTCTGAACTGCTAGGAGCAGCCCTAACCGGTTGGCTCGCACGTCGCCCTGATGACGCATTCCCACTCCACACGTTCGATCAGGTTGCATCACTGTATCGCAAAACTAATATGATGGTCGCATTAGTAGCTGACTGTGCCAAGTCAGAATGGGTCCTAACCTCTATTTATGTGTTGCAATCGTGAAACGTCATTAATTGCGATCAATTTTATTAGCTGTCGGTCGACAGGCCACAACAGGCCTCTAGCGCACGAAGCACGAACGCGAGGCCGACGTTGGGATACTCTTTTCAATAACAAATCGATGCACTGTTAGAATCGGTCCACCACCAGCACACAAGTAAGTAGATGTCAACAAGAGCATGTAGGGAAACCAGAACGCCTGAATGGGACTTTATTTATCTGACACTTCGCGCACCAGCACTTATGCCGCCTCGACGAGAGCTCAATGCAGTGTAATCCAAATAGTTAACTAGTGCATTATTTGCCCGACCAACAATAGTGGACGAAGTTGGCGACATCGGGTGACCAGGTCTACTGTATCCTATAAATACTGCAACTCCCTGTGCATGAATTATCCGTTTCTGTTAATGTCTTTGATGAAGGATCCGCGATGAATTTCGAAACTTCCAGTGAATAAAAGTCTTGTCCGAGAGCAATCACATCTTGTTCTTCTCAGACACTTTTTGCCAGCAGCTAACCGTAAGTAAGTATAGAGCAGTTGTATAAGATCAGCTCAGCTTTCACCGCAAGTGAATTATATTTACATTGCCACATGCGTGAGCTGCAGCGCGTCAGCCAGAAGCAACTGCCACTACTAGATAGACAAATTTTAGATCAAGTTGTTCTTTTGTTCTTCATCTCAATACTATCGTGAAACTGGTGAATATCGGATGATTTAAATGACAATTCCTAATCGGTTTGGATGCACGGAGAGTTACAGAATGTTGAGAATAGTCTCTAAAAGCATGTAGCGGTAGTTTCATCGTCTGATAAGGGACAGACAAATCCAAATTAAAAACGACAATATTTGTGAAGAATCTTGGCAACAAACGATTGTTAGTCATTGACCGAAGTAGACATCTGAAGTTGATTGACAATCGTTCAAACTACTTAATGTATCTGAAGAGTCGCACTTTAACATTCGCCAAGGACAGTGCTTTATTTCCCAGTATTTTAGACACTTAACGACAGTATTACGGATATCTTCCGTCGGAAGGGGGAATTGCAGAAGTAGGGAATGTAATCGCTAGAGCGAAAAGTTTTTTGCCTGATGTTTTAGCTTCAGGCTTAAACCCATCATCAGAGATAAGTGGGAGGAGAGGTAGTTCCTCGTTCGGACGAATTATGATAGTCGACAGACGCCGAGATGATAGTGTAATTCCCATAGTTCTTTCAGGTGAACGCTAATCCGTGAGGTCGCATGGTAAATACCATCACTTGGTCTATTTTAC